GCTTTTTACCTAGAGACTAACAGCTAGACTAAGAACATAAACACTATAATAGAATAAGTCTTATAAGTGTACACAAACTACTAGTAAAATAACTAGGTAAAATAGTTAGCTATAGCATAGTTTAAAGCTAATAACATAATATCTAAATTAACATAAGTATCCCTGTTCTTAGTAAACTATAAATACTACTTTTAAATAAGATTTAAACTACTTTTAAATACCCTCTAACTAACTTATTAATTTATATAAGTAATAAATGTAAATAGACTTATTAATAAAATCTAAAATATATCTAAATATGTTTATAAAAAGCTTACATAGGCTTAAGCTTTTTAATAAAAGTACACAAACTAATTTTAAACTCTTACCCCTATGTATACAGCTAGCAAGAAGGTTTAGCTAGACACTAGAAATATTTAAATAAACTAATAATTAAAAAAACTTAATTAGAAGAACCTTAGCCCTTTTATAGTAGCTTATATAGTTTTATTATATACTTACTAATTAATTCTACCTAACAGCATAAAGATACACTCTATGTTCTATGTATTATTACTACGCTAAGTAGCCCTTAAATTTAACTATCTACCTAGATAGCTAAACTTACTACTTAAACCTATTATTATAAATAATAAACTAAAATATGTTATAGAAAATATTAAATAGATCTAGTTTAATAAAAAAAAACATATTTATAAATACTTTATAAAATAAACTAGATATAACAAACTGTTATAAGAACTTGTAGAAGCCTTATAAAAAAACTTTGCAGTAACTTAATTCTACACTTAATACTTATTTAAACTAAACCTATACTCTAATAAAGACAACTTAATGCTAGAACTACTAATATAAAGAATTCTTTTCTTAATAAGAGAGAGGGTACTGTTACAGTATTCTCTCTAGATCCTAGACATAACTGTATTAAACGCGTACTAGAGTATTATTAGTGCATGTCTAACATAAATATAACATAACATAGACATAAACTTAAGTATAAACTGCCTTAACACTAACTAAACCTAGAATAGGCTTAATTTATACCTAAAGTGCTTAGACTTCTAAGCTAAGTATTTAATTGCTAATTTTCTTTTAAACCTTTCTATTTCTCACACAACGTCTTGTACCTACTATAATACCTCACGTAGTAATTAAACTAGACCTCCGTGAAGCTCTATAACCTTACTCGTGCACAATTGTGACACACCTACTTTATAAATAAACTTTTACTAACATAGTTATGTAAGCAGAGCAGTAAGGATGCTGCTAGAGAGGGGAGGCAGCGTGTTACAGTCTATAGTTAGACTAATATAACTCTACTTAAAGTGCTCTATAATCTAGCTAGGTTAGAGCAGGCCTTATTTACTAACTAATTAGAAGACATAGAGGCAGCGTAGCTGCCTAGGATTATAGAAAAATGCATTAACATGGAACACAAGCGAGTTAGTAACATAAGCAAGTTAGTAGCCTTACTAACTTTGCGCAACGCGTTAACTATTAACTACTATAGCTTAACTAACTACTTTTTAATTATGTTTAAATAAAGTAGGTATTGTTCTTACTATTTAAGCTCTTAATCGCGCATAAATTAAAAGTGTAAATTATGCTGCAGCTATGTTTAATGTGCTTTAATTAACTTTAAATAACTAACGCGCTAGTTAACCTGCATAATGTAATTACTAGCCTAACTTAAAAAAGCTTACTAAGCTAGAAAAGAAGTTAATTATTAGATATATACTTAACCTTAATTTATAAGAATTCTTGCCTAGCCTAAACACTGTGCAAATTATAGCTAACAATCTGCTCACTGCACGCAGTGCTTAGCTAGTAGAAAAGAACTAGCTGCTAAACTTTATTAAGTGTATAGATAGCCTTACTATGTGTTTTAATTAACTATATAACTAGCAGTAAGCTCTATGCAAGGATCCTAGGATAATACAGACCTAGTTTAAACTTGTACAGCGTACGCAGGCTACCTATAAGATCTTAGATAAGGATACCTTTAACTTTAATAAAGCTAGCTTTATAATAGGCTAGATAATGTCTTAAATAGTTGTTACTAGCTTAAAGAGATATTATTAGCCTAAAGTAGTACAACTAGGTAATTATAAGTAGGTTACAGTTATTTAAGGAATTAATGCTACAGGGTAGGCTATTCTACTATACATTATTTTTAAGGCCTAGTACTACCTATCTGCCTAGTATAAGGATTAGGATATCCTAGGCAACTAGAAGATTAGTGTAAGTAAAAATAGATAGACTAACAATAATTTTAGAGTTGCCTAGCTAAAGCACTTTATTAAGTATACTAAAAATAAAATAGTAGGCGCGCGCTAACTTCTAGTCCTAGATAGTTATATAAGCTATTACTTAGCTGTGTTTAAAGACCTCTGCAGAAAGAACAATATCTATACGCTCTATATGCCTTTACATTTATTATATCTTCTCTAGCTGCTTAATGTTAGCTGCTTCTTACTATTAAAGTGTGTGTATAAGGATAAGATTAATAGCTTAGTCTGCTGCTACATAAAGCATATTACTAAGCTTAAATTCCTGCCTTTCTTTAAAGCAGCTTTTAAGAAGGCCTTTACACTAGAGAATATTTGCGCAAGTTTTAGAAGTGCAGTGCTAGTCCTGCTTGCGCTAGAAGTAGTACTATTAAAGCTTAATGTAGTTGTTTGTACGCCCCTACTACTACTACTACCCTAACTAGAGGCTCTCTAGGTGTTGTAAACACTAAGTAACATATGTAAACTTAAGGCGCAGTTAACTCTACTCTATATAAGAATTTAACAGCATTAAAACTTATCCTCTATATAGATACTTTAGTTGCTAAATTGTTTTACTAAAGGCGCTAGAATAGTAATGCATTTAGCTCTACTACTGCGTAATTAGGTCTCTACCCTTTAGAAAGCTAATAAGGCTGCAACAAAGTAAAAAGCGCGTAAAAAAAGGTAAATCTAAAGGCATAAAGATATAATAATTAAAGAAGGTGCAGATATAGTTGCTTAAAGAGACGCGTAGCAGCTAGTAGAGCAGAGTAGGCAGCAGGATGCATTAGCATTAGGGCAAAGTTAACAGGCTCTTGCGCGCTGTAGTTACTGCAGGGAGCCTAGTTATAATTCTTACACATGTAAAAAGAATACTGTAGACGCTACTTTATCTTAAATACCTACATTTTTATAGTATTTTAATGTGTTGTTAAGTTGCGTTGTTTTAAAGGTAGAGAAAGTTAGTAAGGCTACTAACTTGCTTATGTTACTAACTCGCTTGTGTTCCATGTTATCTAGTAGGAAGAAAGGCTAAGAGAACAAAACAAGTCTAAGTAAGTTAGACAAGCTTACTATATAGTAAGCTTATTTAAACTTAAGTAACTTATTCTTAGCGCCCTTAGATATGTATATAGTTCTAACTTTAAATAACTTTTAAAAAGTGTGTTTAATGTTTAGTTTATTTTTTACATAGACTAAGTAGTATCCTAGCTTTTTAAAGAGCTATAATACTATTTATATATCTTGCAACATATATACCTCTAATTCTGTCTAACAGGACTGTTTAACCTAGCTACTATACTGCTGCTATAGGGACAAACCACAATCTAGTCACCCTACCTTACTCCATTAGCCTATTAGCTATTACGTAGGACTGTACACCCTACCGTCGGCCCCTAGTCTCCACCCTACACCCCAGGAACAACATTGACCCGAGTGCTTCCCGAAGCAAGGATTATAACACTTTAACACTTTTATACAGTTGCGCTCTAACCTTTTCTAGGCCTAGTTAGAAACAAAAGCGTTATAATAGCTTCTCTTTTATACACACTCTATATAGTTGTCTAACAACAAGGACATTACATAATTAGAACAAGAGGAACAATAAGAACTACATAGTTGCATTTTAGTACAGCAAAGAGAACTAAGACAAGAAGTGTAACAAGGTAGGCACAGTTAACTACGTGGCCTTCTCTCGCTTATAGAGGTTTAGGCTAGACTAGAGACAACCACTAGTGCTAGTGCTAGCTCTAGCATTATCTATATATATATTATACTATGCGAGAATACTTAGCTTAAGTATTCTCGTGCGTACCTTTAGTACAGTAGGGAAAGTTGTATAGTATTAGCTTGGCAGGCGGGGCGCCTACCTTATTACAAGAAGCAGCACGTTTGCAACAGAGCTAGTATAATAAACAAGGCATAGTTAATAAAACAAAGGAATAGAATAACAGCTACAGCTATAGAAAACCTATAGGATATAAAGAACTTCTAATACTTGCAGCAGTTTAAATAAGGCAGTAAGAACACTGCTAGAGAGAAAAGACTATGTGTTACAGTCTCTAAGTAGACTATAAGCAAGTGTTAGACAGCCACTAGATTATATAATAATTAGTAGTAGAACTTCTTCTTAGCAGTGCAGCAGGAAGAACATGTGATTAGCTAGAAGTCTTTAGAACAAGGATAACAGCTTAGCACAAGGACCGCAATGACCGCAGTAACTACAGTAACCGCGCTGCAGACAGAACAGTTACAATAGACAGAACAGTTAAACCTTATGTATATAGCCTTAATCCTAACTATTACTTAGAGGGTTGTAATTAACGTTTAGTCTTTATTTACATAGACTAAGTAGTATAGTAGTTTCTAACAACACTATACTATTATATATCTTTACATATATACTCCCTTATTGCCTTCTTTTAAGGTTGTTTCCCCTCCTCTTTATACTAGCAGTAAAAGGCAAACCACAATTGGTTCAATCTCCCACACCTGGATATATCGTTACGAGGACTGTACACCCACGTACACGATCTATCCTTCACCCCGCCATCCCTATCGCTCATCTCCCCGGCCCGCGTACTGAACGGTATAAGCCACGCCTACGGCAACTTACCCAGTAAGTAGATATTGTAACAACAGTTTGCTTCTGTGGACCGTTCGCTTGTGAAATACGTTATAGCAGAATCCTAAGATTAACATTATCTAAATTCAGGTTGCCTTTTACTCCACGCTTTGCCAGACATTACTTTACAACAATTCACTTCACTTTAGCCGTCATAGCTAAGTAACTATGCATCTGAGATCCATTGCTATACAAGGCACTCCTATGCTTCAATTGCTATTCAGCCAGCCACCTAATCACTACGCCATGCTATGCCATGCTATGCTAACATTCACTAAAAAACCAACAAAAAGAACGTTTTAATTACAACCGTTGTACCAAAACACTTATTAAAAAGGTACCAAACTATAAGTTCTTATTATACATATCCTCAAACTCTATAGCAATTGCCGCGTCCTTGAGGTTCAACAGCAAAGTAGACGGCATACCCTCCTTACCTGTTAGGTGCGCATAAACCATCTTCTTAGAATCTCCAGCAAGCTTAGTAGCCATCTTTGGGAGAGTGAAACAGTTAACCGGAGTGGATCCGTTCGTGAGACGAATCCGGATCAGAACCTTCCCGGTGTCTTTCTTCTTCAGCATCCAAAGTGGTCCACGGCACTTCGTCTCCCAGGTCTTCTTGCCGTCCTTGACAACTTGGTGCTTCGCGATGGCTTCGGGAGTGTGAAATAGGATTTCATAATCCGCCTTTTCCTCGGAAGTCAAGTCGGTGTTGAGGATGAGTTGTGCGTCTTTACCTTCGTTGGCTTCTTCGGCATTGGACTCCTTACCGCTGGTCTCATCGGCAGACAAGGGGGTTGGAGCGCGAGAGGAGAAGACAGAGGACATGGAAGAGCTGTTTTTCGAGGGGCCAACAGTCGGGGCGAGCCACGACGGAGGAGCTGGGGCTGAGGCGCCGCCGAAAGAACTATTATTGAAAAACGAGTCAAGAGATGGACTAGCGGGCTGGAAGAGGAATGACGGAGTTGTGCTGGGTTGAGTGGGTGCACCACCAAACTTGATGGGAGTGCCAGGCTTGAAGGTCTGATCGCCGGAAAAGAAGCTGTTCTTCTTGATTGGTGCAGTATCGGGGACTTTACCGAAGTCAAAGAACTGGAAGGGTTTCTTCTTAGTGTCATTGGCGGAGGATGAGAGATCCGTCTCTGTCTTATCATTATCAGAGTTCAACTGAGGCGGGTCAGTTTTGGTGATTCGTGAGGCAAGGCTTGGCTTAGGAGTCGCTTGGTCCTTCTCGGAATCGGATTGGGTCAAATCGGACGAATTGATCTTCGTGATATGGGAGTGGAGACTTGACTTGGCATCGGCAGTCTCCTGCTTCTTTCTCCTCATGGTCTCTTCGAGATATTCATCAGATTCGGTATCAGATTCACCGTGTTTGCGCTGAGATGCCGAGGTTGGGGCACCAGCATCGCTACTCGGACCATCTTGTGACTGCCCCTCCGTTTGTGCATCTTCATCTTCATCGTTATAGTCTTGATCATCTTGTTGATTCTCCCCTTGCTTGTAATCTTGATCATCTTCATCAGACTCGTTTTGGTTGTTGGATCCGGAAGACAAATGACCGAATATGTTTCCGCCTGGAGTGCCACCAACCTGAGGGGAATCGAAGACGGAGCCTCCGCCTGGACTAGACGGTGCCGGGCTACCAGTCCGCGAACCAAACAGACCGTTGCTGGATGCACCGTTCGCAGGCTTTGGAGTGGTGAATAAATTTGTGCTTGGTTTGAATCCCGGCGAACTGTGAGCATTTCCCTTGCTGGAAGAATCACCGCTGGCCTTCTGGAAATCAAAACCCATGGCACTACGAGCATTATCGCGGTTATTGGAGGAATCACCACTGGCCTTCTGAAAACCAAAACCTGTGGCGATACGAGCATTTTCGCCGTTGGAAGAATCACCACCAGCTTTCTGTATACTGAAAACCGATTTAGAGGAGTCTTTATCCTTGGAGGTGCTTGCGGTAATGGAAACTTGGAAGCCGGGAGCAGCCATTGCAGCCTTTTGCTTCACTGCTTCTGCTGCGTCATAGCGTGCCGACCACTGTTCCTCAGTCTCGTCGTCGGAATCATAATCTTCTGCTTTCGCTTTTGCCTTACGTTCGGCAGCAAGCTCTTCGGCCGTCTTTGCGCTCTTGAATTGACTCAAGAAGCTGCCTCCCGTACTGACATTTCCAAAGACGGGAACCTGAGGCGTGGATTGGGAAGGTGGCAAAGCTCCGGCACTCCTGTTCAACGCATTTGCGAACATATTGGACAATGGCGGATTCTTCTGTGACGACGGTGCACTTGGCATAATCTTGTTGAACATTTTAGTAGAGTCAGCCGAACCGAAAGAGGGCACAGCGTTCTTGCTAGGTGCATTGCCAAAAGTGGATGTGATGGACTTGCTGAGGACATTGCCGAATATATTCGCGGTCTTTGTAGCAGGGGCGTCGGGGTTGGCGACACCACTGGAGCTCTCAGACGGCTGAAATGAATTTGCGGTTGGCCCACTGACGGAATCACCACCTCGAGGTTTCTTTGACGATGTAGTAGCAGGGCTGTCGTGATTGAGATCCTCTTCAGGTTTTCGCTTCGTGGATAAACTCGATTCTGTGCCAGTGATGCCCATGGTGAGAGCCCTCTGTTTCTTGAGCGTTGTGATTTTCTGGACAAGTTCGGTGGAAGTTTTGCTGTGCCATGCTGACAGTGATGACCAATCTGCAGTGGTGGGAATATTGATAATCTTGTCCTTGAATTTCTGATTCAATACAGAAAGCTCTGCAACTATGTCCATCAATTGCTTGCCCAACTCGTCAATATTTGCAGGATGAGTAGCATTCGATACATATGGTTTCGTCCATCGTGGATCCACCTGCACTTTCGGTACTTTCGGCACCTTCGGCAAACCCTTAGAAGACTCTTGCACTGTGGATCCTGTAAGTGTAGGCATGGATGCAATCGGCTGTGGCTCCAGGGGTGGGGGCGGCAACCCCCCGAATGGCTGATTGCCTTCCTGGTTGTCTACCGGGGGTGGATGGGATGTGCCAGTGGATGATGGGGCAAATATGTTGGGCTGAGCCTGGTTCCCAGTTGTCGGCTGTTGCTTCGGTTGCGACGTCAAAAAGCCGCTAGACCCAGGATGGTGGTTCCAGGTGTCGTTGCCAGGAAGGATAGCGCCACTGAAGATCATCCTCGAGGTGGGATTGGTGAAAGATAGGTTCGGCGTCGATGATGAGGATGACACAGCAATACTGTTCGTGGTACTGCCGCCAAACGCACCTTGCTGCTCTGGGGCTGGCTGTTCTAATGCACCGAACGTGAAATGATTGCCCGGAGCGGAGGGTAGGGCTAGTTGGATGCCGCTCGTGGTGCTACTCGTGGTGCTGCTAAACGCACCTTGCTGCTCTGGTGCTTGTTGTTGTTGTTGTTGTTGTTGTTGTTGTTGTTTTTGTGGTGGTGGTGGTGGTTGAGGATTAAAGCTGGTGTTCAAAGTGTTGCTACTACCTCCAAAGGTTAGGAACGTGGAACTGGCAAAGGGGTGGCTTGGTGCAGAGGTCTGGGCTGGCGGGAGGCCGCTGGTGGTGCCGCTAAACGGGCTTTGTGGCTCTGAGGCTTGTTGTTTTTGTGGTGGTGGTTGTGATTGAGGGCTAAAGCCGGTGTTGATAGTGTTGCTACCACCACCAATGGTTGGGAACGAAGAGCTGGCTAAGGGATGGCTTGGCGCAGAGGTCTGGGCTGGCGGGAAGCTGCTGGTGGTGGTGCCACCAAACGCGATTTTTTGCTCTGGTGCTTGCTGTTCTTGTGGTGGTTGAATATTAAAGCCGGTGTTGAAAGTGTTGCTACCACCACTTAAGGCTGGTAATGAGGAGCTAGTGAAAGGATTGCTCGGTGCAGAGGGTTGGGCAGAAGTGCCCAAAGTACCAGAAGGCCTGCTGACTGCGAATCCACCAATTGGGAAGCCACTGGTGCTTCTGCTAAACGCGCCTTGCTGTTCTGGAGCGGGTTGTTCTGGTACCTGTTGCTGTGGGACCTGTTGCTGTTGTGGCAGAGTAGTAAAGGCCGGGCTAGCGAAAGGATTGCTGGGAGCGGAGGTTTGGGTAGGGGTGCCAACAGTGCTAGAAGGATTGTCCACTGCAAATTGTTGCAGCGGGGCCTGTTGCTGTTGCGGTGGAGGGGCCGTAAAGGTGAAGCCAGAGGACGGTGGTTGAGGGTTGAAGCTGGTGTTACTACCACCAAGGGCAGAGAAGGAGGAGCTGGCGAAGGGGTTGCTTGGGGTAGACAGTTGGGCTGGTGGGAAACTGTTCGTGGTGCTGCCAAACGCGCCTTGCTGGTTTGGGCCGTGTTGTTCTTGTACGGCGCCGAACGCGAACGGATTGGAAGCTCCAATCTGTGAAAAGCTAGAGCTCATGCCGGCTGGCCGCCCACGGGGCTTGATAGTCTTGATCTTTCGCGTCGCCATCTGCGCTGCGGTCGCGCGCTTTGGAGGGTCCGGCGCCTGGTCCTCGCGCTCGACATACTGGTCTTTCCCCTTCTCGCCCTGCTCGTAAAGGCTGGTCCGTTTAGACATGATGGCGAATGGGCATGTCGCGATCGAAACGGAGGATGGGAGGAGGCGATGGTGAGTTTGCGACGTTGATGTGGATGTCGCGGAGTTGAGTTCGGGATTAGGGAGATGGGTTAGAGAAAAACACCAGCCCTGCTGAATTCTAGCTTGGGCAGTTCGTTGTTCGCCGCCCGCCGCCCGCCGGCCTTGGCGGTGGTAAACACGTGATGCGGTTGCTCAGCAGCTCCGGCACCATGGAACCCTCAATTCCCGTTCGGTTCACTCAAAGTAGATGCCTTGCGCTCTTCTATCGGCTTCTATCACCACGGCGTGCAATCGAATCAAGTTCGGCAGGCGCTCTCGCCCGTGGTTTGGCCCGCAACACCTCAAGTCAGCAGTAAATATAGCAACAAGCATTTTAGATAGTATATGAACTCTGTTTACAGATATAAAAGGCGACCTTGGAAGTCTCCCAATAAGTTTTCTCGTCCTGAGGAGCGTACCCTGTCACTCTTTCCTCTTTTCTAAGCTGTCCTTTACCATTGAACACTGCACCGTGCGTGCGAAGATGCCAGCTTCACTGAATCTTAATTCTCCTGTGCAGCAGCTTTCCTCCAGATGTCTACCAGCGGACCACCTTTCCCATAGACAGGATCGTACTCCGGAATCGGGACGGACTCGGCCACTCTAGCCTTCTCGCTTGTCTCCTCCGCACTCGCTTTGCAGAAATTGTTGTCCCAGTGAGGAGAGCCCTGGGACAAGCTACTATAAGCACATCCATTTCCAGACCCTTGGCAGCGACAGCCTACTCACCTCTGGATATAAGCCCACATACTCATACTCACCCTTCGATGCAATGGAACAGTGGCTGACACCTGCCTGGCACAGAATCAGTCACTGGTTAAAGCCTCACCCACAAATATATCAATCGGCAATCAAAATGAACAAAACACAATTCAATCTCATACAGGCAAAACAATAATGTCTCCTCTTCCAAGGTCGACCTCCAGGCCACCCTCTTCCGGACCATCCAGCGGCCCGCGTCCCAGCAACAGCTTGCTTGACCCTTTGAAGACAGCGTAGCATTCGTGGGTCACGGAATGGAAATGGTGGGCTCGATAGGTCTTGAAAACGCCACCCTGCATCCAGAGGTTTTTCTCCAGGGCCTCGCGGGTGGATGCAGCAGTCGGGTCTGCCGGGAGAACCGAACGGTAGATCAAGGCCGGTAACCGGGAGTTGGGGACATGAGAGGTGGGAGAGAGTTGATAAATCTCTGGCATGTGAGGCACCATGGTATAGCGTGGGCTGCGCGGAGGATTGATGAGGTACCGTGATAAGACTGATACAATTGGAGTGGTGCAGCGGCGTTGATATTGTGCTAACTTCCAAGATAGAGTGTCAGCTTGAGGCAGTTGACGAGATCAACTAGGGTTGGCGACGATGCGCGGGCGGTTCTAGGCTGGCATGCGTGATCTGAGGACCGAGATTGGGGGAATCCTTGACATGTGTTTCGTGGAGAAGGCGTCGCCGAACAACACCAGCCAGCCATGCCGCGCTAGCCAACGGTGGAATACTGAAGCCCGTGGGAAAAGTTAACCCCCACCCGGGAAGCTGCAAATTTGATATGCTGACAGCCTCTGGGCCAGCGCAGCCTTCGCAAGTTGAGACCAGATGGGTATGAACAAATGGCGATGCTTTGCCTCGTCCGACCGGTGAATTGAAGCAAAGAATAAGCCCTGTTTTTGGTGCAAGGGTTCATCACACGATGCGAAACGGCGTATCAAGTAAGAAGGTCTCTTTTTGTAAACAACAACCTGCCAAATCAAGCCCTGGTCGACGCTGCGCACCGCTTGCGAAGAAGAGAGGTCGCCAGACGATGCATGATTCCCTCACAGGTGCTAGCGAGGAATGCGAAGTGTGCGGTGAGCAAAGCAACACATACTTGCCGGCTGGCTTGTGCCTCGGACGCTGCGGGATGGAGAGGTGCTTTGTGTGCCGGCGCCATCATCCTTACTCACCAGCAACCTGATCCTTAAGACTGTATCTCGTCCCAGATAAAACATCTACTCCGCTCTTCCCCTCACCTGAGGCAGCGCCCAAGGTTTCTCCGCCTCGCTGTCCAGCTTAAAAGCCGTCCGTGGTACGCCTGCTGGGCTGATGTCTGGCGATTACGTTGACGCGCAGCCCTGAGTCTTGAGCTTCCAGCGCCGCTCCCTCGCCCACTGTCGCTCTGGTTATATCTCCTGGTTCAGGATCAACACTCCCGACCACGAGTCCGCCTGCGGGCCACCCTCAACAGCGTGCACCTGCCAGAGATTCGCCACTGATCTCGTTCCGATCTTTCCGCCGCGCTGGAGCCATGTCCATGTTGGCTTGGTGAGGTTGGTTTCAACCCCGCCGAGACCCGCTATTTACCTCGACTCTGGCATGCTCCAGCGCGCCTCAACCATCAGCAGCAGAGTCAGCACGCTTCATCACCACCCGCACCATGGCCGCGAGAGTGCATGCGCCCTCGAGCCATGGCCGCCTGCACAAACGCGGCAACTCAGCCTCGTCCATTACAAGTCCCCTCAGCCTGCTGTCCGACTCGCCAGCCTTCACTTTTAACCGTTCGGAGACGCCCAAAGTCACGTATGAAGAACCCTGGACCGACCCTGCCCGCCCCATGCCCGCCGCGACTTCCTCGAGCAAGATCAAACCCTACCTGCGCAAGCTCTCCTCCAAGGACAGCAATGCGCTTGACCTGTCACGCCCTGCTGCCGAGAACGAAGGACTGGCCGGCCTGGGTATCTCCGACTATGGCGGCAACCCGCGATCCGTCACCGATGTCAGCTTTGCACCCGTGAATGGTCGCCATCGTCACAATCGCTCCACCTCCAACACATCACAGTTCTCGACGACGTCCAGCCTGCAGCGGCCCACGGCCCCCTACATGCCTTCCATCCGCCAAACACCCCGTCCATACACACCACCCATCTCCAAGTCCACTCCCTCGTCTGTCATGGGAAGCGAAAATGAGGTGGATGATATCATGACAGATGAGGAGCTTCGATTACGACAGAACATGTTTGACCCCGCTCGCCGATCAGGGTCGGTGTCTTCGGTGCCGGGCGTGTCCCCGCCATTACGCATCCACACCACCGGCTCCTCCACACGGCTCGGGAGCTATTCACAATCCGCAGTTTCTCTCACTTCGCCTGTCGTTCCCTCACGATCGCGCGGGGACACGCTCAAATCCATAGACACAACTTCGCCGAGCTCCCGGACTTCCTTCGACAAGGCCTTCGGATTCATCCGTGGCGGCAGGGACTCGCCTGCAAATGTGGATCCGACTTCACGTGCTGCTTCTATCCGTGCGGCGCGGCAGGCTTTCAACGAGAAGGAAGGAGCAAAGGAGCGAAAGTACGAGAAGGAGGCTACCCGGCAAGCGGAGAAAGACATTCGTAAGCAATACAGGAAGGAAGAGCGGCAGAGGCGTAAGTCTGATGCGCAAGAGAAAAAGGAACACAAGCGCGGCCGAAGCACATCCGATGCCAATACCAACGAGAGGTCGACCCCACGGCCGTCAATTAGCGGCAGACAGTATTCAGACCATCGTCAAGCCCATAGCCGTTCGCTTCCTACCCATGTGATCTCTGTTGAGCCCGAGAAGATCAGCGGAGCAGCGCCCCAAGTCACGAAGACCAGAGCGGCTAAAGGTCGCTGGCTTCGATTCGTGACCTGGTTTAAGACCAGGTTGCTACGACTTTCAAGGAAGTTGCATATGAGTTCGTGAGTGGTTGGTTTCCGCCACATGCAGAAATGCTTGTAGCCAGCGCCACATTACTCGCACACCAGTCCACAGGCAATCACTTGGGATGACTTGCATCGGCTCTCTCAATACATATTGCAGAAGACCATTCCCGTTCTTATCCGTTTCTCTGCCTTAAGTATTTCTACGGATACTTGGAGAGGTGCATGGCATCCACAACCACCCTCTCTAATGCCCTTTGGGTTTGCGTTCTTTAGGTTCCAGCATGGCGTTTGGCTTCACGGTGACGGTTTTTATGATGCAATGGCTTTCTTCCTATCCTTTGCGCTGCATTCATCGCGGGCATGTTTCTCGAGTCTACATGGGATCATATCATTAAGGAGATTTATATCCTTATCCTGGCGCATTGGGTGGCTTCGGCCTCGGCCACGACTCGCTCGTGGACTTCTCAATTTGGGTTCAGGGTATGGGGCCGGCGTACTTCCTACATGGTAGAGTAGCACTGTGTGCGTGCTTGGATACTAGTGTTGGTGCTAGGATTCTTACATGGGTTAGGTCTTGGGTTCTGAGATTGGCTTTTTCCGATGCTCTGGCATTAAGCCATTGAGCTGTTACAATTGCATACATATTTCTATTCCCATACCTCCTCCCCCAGACTGGTTGTGACGACGCATACACAATGTCTGCCGAGGAGCCACTGACCTGGTTCGAGGTAGCAGCCCTTCCTCCGAACATCAGCCGAGGAAGATCTGCGCTTGCAGATCTAATCTCAAAGCTTCAAGAGCTGTCCCCACGCTCACAGCCCCCCGGTATGAACGCCATGCTCCTTATTCTCTTCTATTCATAATGTCTTTACGACACTTACCGCGAACTCCAATTGCTCTTCGGAGCGCGTCTAGACGCTCCGTCGCGACAGTGATCCCATTCTGCCCAGTGCGATTCCAGCGTAGATGGGCGAGCGAGGAGAAGGATAAAAAGACAGACACTCCCTTTCACTACCAAGTCTGGGAGAGTGTGTATGACCGAGTAAAAAGGGAAAGAGAGCAACAGCACCAACTTTCCCAGAGAGTGGTTCTGTCGTCGCGGAGGAGATATGCGGGGACGATAACGGGTACGCAATCATCCCCAAAACCTCCCCCAATTAACATGTCAATTAATGCGCCTTGTAGTTATGGTTATTGCTGCTGCTGTAGGCTATTACTGGGGCCAAGCCCTTCCGAAGCCTCCTTCCGAAACCTCCACGACTCCGCTTTTTGAGACGGTGCCACCAAGACATAACATCTCGCAAACGAATATGGAGGCCGCGTGGACGGACTTTAGGGATATTGTAGGGAAGGAAAATATCACGATCGAACGATCGGAGCTAGAATCGCATTCTGGATCATCATGGTCTTCGCATCCTGCCGCACCAGGAGATGTGCCGTTCTGCGTCGTCAAGCCGAAATCCACTCACGAAGTTAGCGCCATCATGAAAGTCTGTAATGAGAGGCGAATACCAGTTACTGCATACTCAGGGGGCACAAGTCTGGAAGGACATTTTGCTGCAACAAGAGGGGGGATTTGTGTTGACTTCTCACGTATGGATAAGATCATCGCGCTGCATAAGGAGGATCTGGATGTCGTAGTGCAGCCAGCTGTGGGCTGGGAACTGCTGAATGAAGAGCTATCCAAGTTCAATTTGTTCTTCCCTCCGGACCCTGGACCAGGAGCTATGATCGGGGGCATGGTGGGCACTGGTTGCTCCGGCACAAACGCATATCGCTACGGGACGATGAAAGACTGGGTTCTCTCTCTGACTGTCGTCCTCGCGGATGGCACTGTCATCAAAACGCGCCAACGCCCGCGAAAATCCTCAGCGGGATACGACCTAACACGAATGTTCATTGGCAGTGAAGGCACGCTCGGCCTCGTGACTGAAGCCACCCTCAAAGTCACCATTAAACCTCAACACACCAGTGTTGCCGTCTGCGCATTCAAGACTGTCCGCGAAGCTGCAGACTGCGTGTTCAAGGTCGTCGGAGCTGGTGTCCCCATCGCCGCCATCGAAATTCTGGATGACGTCCAAATGCAATGCATCAATGACGCCGGAATGACGGCCAAAGAATGGAGTCCCTTCCCCACCCTCTTTTTCAAATTCGCAGGTACACCTTCCGCGGTCAAAGAGCAGATCGGACAGGTGCAGAAACTGGCCAAGCAAGCCGGGTCCCAGTCGTTCGAATTTGCGAAAAGCGAGCAGGAGAGGGAAGAGCTGTGGAGTGCGCGGAAAGAAGCGCTGTGGAGTGTGATGGCGAAGATGGAGGGCGATGACATGGCAGTTTGGACGACGGACGTGGCGGTCCCCATTTCGAAGCTGCCGGAGATTGTGGATGAGACGAAGGAGAATATCAGGAGGAGTGGGTTGCTCGGGAGTATTGTCGGGCATGTTGGTGACGGGAATTTCCATTGTGAGTGCTACCATACTTCCCCAGACACTCCCAGTCCCCTTCAAACCTTTTAGTCGTTTCTAGAAAGCACTGAGCATCCAATTTGTATCACCAGCTCACCGTCGCAGCTATCATCCTCTACAACAAACACACTGAACATGCAAAGGCCTCGGAACTGGTCCATGAAATGGTCAAACGCGCAATCGAACTGGAAGGCACGGCCACCGGCGAACACGGAATCGGTCTCGTCAAACGAGATTATCTACCACATGAGCTGGGCGAGGCCACTGTTGACACTATGAGGAGGCTGAAGCTGGCGTTCGATCCGTTGTGTTTGCTCAATTGTGATAAGATTGTGAGAGTGCAGCCGCCGAAACCGGGGGAGATTGAGGAATGGTAGATGGTATGGGAACAAGGGTGATGATGCACGAGTAGGGAATTGGCGAGAGGAGTAAGTAGATTCGTTGACTGTTGTCATATTGAGTGAGATGTCAAGGATGGCGTAGAGGGCTAAAGCATGTGCTGCACAATAACGAATCCCCTCCCCAACCTCGCTGAATTACTGACTGGTCGCATTCTTCCTTCCTCGTGCATGGTTGACGCTTCGATCTAATTATTTCGGCCAGCAATATCCGTTATTTGTGCTCACGAGGCAGGCGCACCTTCAGCAGTTAAACAAAAGCCCCAGCACGTGGAAGGCAAGGACGTAAATGCTCGTATGGTGAAGGTTTCATCCACTCCCAGCCAATGGATTAGCGATACATCCGCACTCTTACCCTTCTCTCTTGTTATTGATCATCCGTTGACAGTCTTTAATCACTCACTCACTCGGTCTCTCTTAAATCTCTGGGCAATCCCCTCTTTTCACCTTCATCGCCAGACTATATCAGCTTTCGAGAAAATGATCAAGCAATCCCTCGGGCCAGTTCGGACCGTACTCAAGCCCCAGATCCTGGTAGTTACCGGGGGCTTGGGGGATATGACGGAATTTCATTGAAGTATCAAGAAGCAGTGTGGTAACCCTGGGTGCGAACCGGTGAAGGATGAATGTGAGAGCACCAAGGACGACCCTACCGACGAGCAGACTCATTGGCGCCACCCATCCCCCTGGAGTCTCACCCAGCAGTCTGTAGGAAAGAAGAGTGCGGTGTACACCGATTTCGAGAAGCGCCTGGCGGAGGGCAAGGAGGTTGTGGGTCATGACCGGGTGGAACAAGGTGGTATTAACCCCGCACTACCTATGATTCCAGAGATGTTGGAAAGGCGCCTAGTGTCTGGCCGCATTTATGGTTTGTGGCCATCACGCTCTCACATATAAGCAGAATGAATATTGATGTTTGGTGCGATAGGTGAAGAAATGCGTCGCCGTAGACCCCCGATTCGACCGTCAGCCAATAGCGACCTCGACGTACTTTTGGGGTCACCTCTTCAGGCATTTGGATGAAAAGGAGAAGAAATGCCTCCACATTCTCAAAGCAACTACTTGGGGCGTCAAGCAGAGAAGATGTTCTTGCCAATGATTACTATTCCTCATACTTTAGACAAATCACTGGTGAGATAGTTGTTGGATGGGACGTAAAGCCCTAGTAGACCTCTTGAGGGCTATGCTCAAGCCTATGCTCGGAAGAAGATGGAGTCTTGTGCCGTGGGAAAACTACAAAATATTGAACAGGTGGTGGACTAGAAATCAGCAGCCGATTACCTCTAACATAACATTCCCTAACTATTTAGAGTACCCAAGCCGGAACACGCAGACCGAGGTGCCTAGAGTCAGTGAACCTTTACTCATCCTCTGTAATTATTCAAATCTTGCGGTGTATTGTCCAATGTGCAAACCCTCACTCATGCTCCGTATCCCGAGACGAAGGATACGGGCGTATGCGGAATACGAGAAAATGCCAAGAAGGTCCACGACTTCTGCATGAGCAGTCATCATCGACCCAGGAGCTCCATCAAGCATTTTGCTGCCGCCTATTCTTGTAGCTTTTGAAGGTGAGAAATAGAATCGGCCGGTAAAGCGTCCTTCGTGTTTTCAAGGCATTGCGTCGGGCCTATTATGACCTATCCTGCTATAAAATGTTGATGTTTCAGGGAGGGAAGGTTGGTGTCAAGGATGACGCAGTGTTCTTGGTCAGCCGCGTGCCAGGATTCTAGGTTCCTTCCAGCCAATGAAGTGACGGCACTGCTATGCCCCGCTGCTGTATCCCTGCTTCTGCAACACATGTCATAGCCTGCGCTGTTGCGGACGGGGGAAGTGAATATCAACCTCACCATCCCAATGGAGTTTGCCGAGTCGCCCCCAAATCCTTCATCTTCATAATTATTCACCCTTTTGTATCGACTTTCTTGACTCACGCTTTCATGATATCCTTTCCGCGCGTGTAGCTTTTACTATGACGAATTCCCAGGATCCTCCGGCTGAAGCGAACGCGTCTGGCGAAAATGCCCCGCCAATGCAACCCTCCCGACTCCCACCCCCCACCCCAGGAGTGGTCGGATTGCCCGCGAGCCCGGAGGCGCCTTCTTCGCGGCCGGGGACAGAGGACCGGCCGAACAGATCGTCGGAGAGGCAGAGAATGAAGCCAGAGGGTTCTGGCTATGCGAGCTCCTACCGGCTTTCCGAAACACGCCCCACTCCGCGTCCAATGTCTGTATGTCTCCTAATAGCTCCACTCACATTCTAATTCTATAAATAGACCCAGTGCGGATGAACTTTATGGCTATAATACTGGCCAAATCGATACATCGGCGGCTGAAGACGAAAATTATGACCAGCCTCCTCCAGCATACACGGAGCTTCCGGGGCAGATATCGGACGATAGTAACGAATTGGGCGCAAATGCCATCGTGGCAGATGACGGCCGTGTTAATATCCGCATCAACCAGAAAACAAGGAGGCTTTCGCAGCTTCTAGTCCCGCAGATCCAACGTCAGCTTTCCCAGGTCGAACGAGAACCCGCACCGCCTCCTGCGTACGTCCCCGAGTTTCTTGGTGGGGCGCCGGGACAGGACCCCCCGCCATCATTGAATGTCGTTATACATGTGGTTGGCTCAAGAGGAGATGTGCAGCCGTTTGTGGCACTGGGCAGGGTACTGAAGGAGACGTATAAACATCGCGTACGATTGGCCACTCATCCCACTTTCAAAGACTTTGTGAATGAGAATGGACTGGAGTTCTTTAGCATTGGTGGCGACCCCGCTGAGCTCATGGCCTTCATGGTTAAGAACCCCGGGTTGATGCCAGGCTTCGATACCCTACGGAGTGGTGACGTGGGCAAGAGGAGACGGGGCATTGCAGAGATTCTCCGTGGAACATGGAGGTCGTGTATCGAGACTGGCGATGGTCTTGGTATCGATCCGCTAAAGCAGAGCATAGAAGAGTGGATGGAAATCGAGAACGATGTTCCCGAGGTCCTCAAGAAGCCTTTCGTTGCGGATGCTATTGTTGCGAATCCTCCGAGCTTCGGCCATATTCATTGTGCGGAGAAACTTGGCATTCCGCTGCACATGATGTTTACGTTAGCCTCCTACCTTCGATCTTTCCTTCTGCGAGCTAACCGTATTGACCAGGATGCCATGGTCACCCACTCAACAGTTTCCTCATCCTCTGGCGAATATCCAGTCTTCTAACGCGGATGCGAGCATTACAAATTTCATGTCATACACAATGGTAGACATGTTGACATGGCAAGGGTTAGGAGACGTCATCAACCAGTTCCGCAAACACAGTCTTGGCTTGGACCCCATCAGCATGATTTGGGCACCTGGCCTGCTGGCAAGGATGAAGATTCCATACACGTATTGTTGGTAAGGTTCGAACCATATCCATACCGTTGACTTCTTTTCTAATAATTTACTAGGTCTCCGGCATTGATCCCCAAGCCCAAAGATTGGGGTCACCACATCTCTATCTCAGGCTTCTACTTCCTTTCTCTGGCACAAAATTACACTCCAGCCCCTGACCTTGCCGAATTTCTTGCAGCTGGAGAACCACCCGTTTATATTGGCTTTGGTTCAATTGTTGTGGATGATCCAAACGCTATGACTAAGATGATATTCGAAGCGGTTAAGAAAACCGGAAAGCGAGCACTTGTATCGAAAGGCTGGGGTGGCCTTGGAGCCGACGATCTTGGAATGCCTGAAGGTGTTTTCATGCTTGGAAACGTGCCTCACGACTGGCTATTCAAACATGTCTCTTGCGTAGTGCACCACGGTGGCGCTGGTACCACTGCCGCAGGTATTGCAGCAGGCCGGCCTACCGTGGTTGTCCCATTCTTTGGAGATCAACCTTTCTGGGGGGCGATGACGGCAAAAGCTGGAGCTGGTCCTCACCCGATTCCATACAAGGATTTGACAGCGGACAAGTTGGCTAAGGCTATCGAAGAAGCTCTCAAACCGGGGTCTCTCGAGAGGGCGCAGGAGTTGTCGCAGTTAATCAGCCAGGAGCGAGGTGATCAGAATGGCGCTCAGTCTTTCCACCAGATGCTGAAGTATGATGACTTACGGTGTATGGTCGCCCCGAGTCGTCCGGCTGTTTGGAGGGTGAAGCGTACACAGGTCAAGCTCAGCGCAATGGCTGCTACGGTTCTGGCTCAAGAAGGAGAGCTCGACTTCAATGAGCTAAAATTGTGAGTCTAAGCGATCGTGTCCTTTGCTCCTAGCTAATTATGTAGATACCGACCCCGCGAGTACGAGACCGACGATGGACCTTGGGATCCCATCACAGGTGCAACAACGGCTCTTATTGGTACTGCAACGACAATGATGATGGGTGTGGCTGATTTTCCTATTGAAACTATGAAGCTACTTGGCATTCATCCCGATACGAAAGAAGCCAAGAAAGGAAAACAAGCCGCGAAAGGATCTGAAGCCAGCTCTTCTATAGCAGATGCCCCTCGTACAGGTCGCCCGATGGGCTCAAGATCTACCACTAACACGCGCACATCAGCTTCAAGCAGTGCTTCGACGCTTCCCGGTGTGAGTACCTTAGTAACAACCACCACCGAAATCACGCCCGTAAGTCCGGATGATAGTTCTCCCCGACACAGCTCCAGCTCCGAAATCACACGCGTATCAAGTCCGACGACAAGAGGCACATTCATGGCTCAAGCCATGCGCGCTTCAACACAAGTCTCGCGCTCGCGTTCCAGAGATACTTCACCATGTCCTATTGATCGATTTCGCCACGGACGCACACACTCTCACGTCGGTTCTGAACCTGGAATTCGCTCCGAAGCTGGCACTGGCAGCTTCTCGGAGCGCATCTCAAGTTTCAATCCTGAAGCTGTCGCCAATACAGGCAAAGGGCTTCAGAGAATCGTAGGCGCCGGCTTTAAGTCCCCAATGGAGTTTTCTTTGAATGTTGCTAAGGGGTTTCATAATGTGCCAAAGCTTTATGGGGAAGAGGTTAGACAGGTAGATAGAGTGACTGATTTCCAGAGCGGAATGAAGACTGCTGCAAAGGTATGCCCTCGACGCCTAAAATATCTTGACTGTGTAATGAAGCTTACTCGAATGATAGGAATTCGGACTTGGCCTCTACGAAGGGATAACAGGGATCGTAACGGACCCGTACAAAGGCGCGAAGAAAGAAGGTGCTATTGGCTTCGTCAAAGGTGTCGGAAAAGGGCTCGCAGGCGTCCCTCTCCGAGTTATGGGGGGTGCGTTCGCTGTCCCCGGTTACGCTATGAAGGGATTATATCAAGAGGCCCTCAAACAAAAAGGCGTAAATGTACAGAATTATATCATCGCAGCAAGGATATCCCAAGGCTACGACGAAGCGACTGCAGTCTCAACGGCGGAACGCGCAGATGTCTTGGCCAGATGGAAGTGCATAAGACTGAACGTCAAAAAGAAGAAAAACCCCGGGGAGGACCAGATCGAGGCTTTACACATATTGATGAAAGACCGGCGCAGGAAACGTCAAGAGCGGTGGGCGAAGATAAAAAACAACGCGCATCTTAAACGGTCAGAAGCTCGTCCTTCGCTCCCGTCCGCTATGAGCGATGCAAGCTCTTACTCGGATCTTCCGATCCCGGTAGAGCCTAATGCGGCACCGCATACTATGCCAGTATCGAGGAGCTTGACGTTGAGAGATGATACTTCTTCGTTGGGTACATACCAATATCCGAGCGGAGTGCCTTTGCAACATGCAAGTACCTTCCCGCAACCAAACCCATCCCAACTCTCTCTCCAACAAGTCCAGGCCGCCCAAGAAGAGGCAGAGCGCAGGGAACTCGAAGCCGCAATCGCAGCATCTGTCTCGCAAACTTCCCAGGGCAACTTAGATGAAGATGAAATGATTGCACGCGCTATCCGCGCGTCGATGTCCGAGCTCCAGCGCAGCAGGGAGCTGGAAGGAGAAGACGAGGAAGAGGCGCTGCAGCGCGCCCTGGCGGCGAGTATCTCGGAAGCTGGCAAGAGCGGTGCAAGTGTTGAAGAACAACAAGCGCTAGAGGAAACGCTGCGGAAGAGCTTATTGGAGACTAGAAGGGTGAGGGAGAAGGGCGTTGTGCATGGCAGTGAGAGTGGGTGGGATTCCGATGAAGATACGGAAGATGATGAGGAATACCAACGTATCATCGCCGAGAGTAAGGAACTCGCTCATCTGCACCAGCATCATCATCAACAGTTCCTGGACAATTACCCTAGTTCTACCGAAACGCAGATGTATGTCCAAGCCAGAGGCCATGACTCCGGTGTTTTAAACTCAGCGGTTGCGTCTGAGCATGTTGATGACGACGAGGCATTGAATACGGTGCTTAAGGAGAGCGAGGAGGCGGTGCAAGCGCAGAAGCAGGGTAGTCACGATGACGAAGAAGCGCTGAAGAAAGTCCTCGAGGAAAGCGAGAAAGCGGAAAAAGAAAGGATGTTGGAGTTTGAGAGACAAAAGAACGAGGAGGATATTGTGTTGGAGTATATTAAGAAGCAGAGTCTGGCAGAGGAAGAGCTGAGGAGAAGGATGTTGCAAGGAAGGGCGGAGGAGGCGATGGTTGGGGAAAGCGAGGGAGAGGGTGTGGGGGCGGGAGCGGAAGTGGGAGCTGTTGGAGGCAGTGGTGCGGGTTCTGGACCTGGTTGTGATACTGGTGGCGGCGTTTAGTCGATCTGTGTTATACACAGAGGTTAGAGGTCGGGAACAGAAATGAGATGGGATAGATGGTTAATAACATGATACCCAAGTGAATACATAAGTATTAGATAGATATTTCATATTTGATAAACTAGACAATTTCATCTCAAAATATAAGAATCACAGAGATTATTGCCTTTCTAGATATAGGACCATAACGGGCGGGATGAGTGTTTACGAGATAGCGAGTGATGAGATTCAACCGAGAAAGTGGATGCAGATATTGAGATATCTGGAAGAACCCCCCGCTTCTTTCAAAGTCTTGGATGTATTATTACGAATGGCACATGGTTGACTGAGAAGGAAGAAGTCTGACAAAAGGCCCGCATCAGCATGAGTAGCGGTGGATTGACTGAACACGGCACCTGTTCGTAATCTTCATGACGCTGCTTTCCAAGGCTCCTCGCCGCCGGCCGTGGTGTATAATGGCCGAGAAATTCCTCAACCCCTATGCCACGTCCGATCTCCAGTAGATTCTCGAACCGCAATACAACAGATCGATAGGACGAGCAGCGGCCTAGACCAACCCCTATTCTCACATTGGTGAAGGTGCATTTTCATACCAATCGTATTGGATCAACTCTAGTGGTGACGCACCTGGCGTTTCCAGTCTGTACTACAGTCGCGACTATACCAAGGAACAATACGTTGTATTCGCAATTGAAAGCCAGGCTCAGATACAGAAGGAGTGCATTGCCGATGTGAAGAGCAGGATTTTAACATCTGGAACTAATCTGACGTGTTCATACGTGTTGAGGTGTGTGTCTCATTTCCTAGGAGATATTGCTCAACCTCTACATGCGTCGGGCATCGTTGCTGAGATTTTTTCAGCATTAGATTTAGTAGCAATTCGGCCGAACTTGATGCTGCGAGAAACCCATGCTGCATCCCAACGCTACATCAAGCTGACGGTCTAGTCCTGGGATGGCTGCTTCGTCTGTACCAATCTAGCAACCAGTGGATGCGCGGACAGCGCATGCCTAGTCGTAGGGCTGCAAATTAGTAAAGCGGCCTTGAGGCTGGGAATATAGCAGAATAGGCTGGCGAAGGGGAGGCATAAAATAGATGGACAGGTTATTTTGAGAATATATCTGAGTTGGGTCGATGGCCCCAGTGATGGCGCATAGGGTTAGGAGCAGTTGGGGGTTGTCCTTACGAGCGAATGTGTGTATGAACTGATGGAGTTGATTATCGACTTGCCAAACGCGAACATCTTTTGATATCGCAATCAATGTCAGTTCAGATTCCTTGAAAACACCTGAATGACTGATTCATTCCAGTAGCATCCTAGCAGCACTAACAGGGTTTAAAAAATTTAGACCTCATGTATAAACACGGAACCCACCCACAATTAAGTACCCGGCCGACATAAAGTTAGTCAGGTCGGATCAGATCAGATTAACGTTGACGTCCGCGAAGGAAGCGGGTAGAACCCCACATCTCTCTCCATCGGCATTTCATAGCCACCCCACATCCAGGATGTATGGGACTCCATAAGCACTTAACCCAGCATATCAGCACGGGTGGAATCTCCTTACAAGCTTGCTACCAGGTCAAATCTTGATAAATTTGAATGTCTGCCATGCCGTTTCACCAGTTGAAGGAGAAGATAACCCCTTGTGTACGTCCTTCGCGATTTCAATGCCCCACACAGGCGCTGCTGCGAAGCCCACTTAGTGGACTGCAACTATGCATCACACCACCAACTTCTTCTCGCACGTCGCAGAGCGTAACAGGAAGAACATTAACATTTCAATCAGATCCCCAGCCGCGAAACGTCCCCTAATCGAGGCACATCACTCGCCCAGGACGCCGCTATAAGCTCAAATCGCAAAGCGCTCCGCGAATGGCAGAAAGCAAATAACATCGACCGAGATGCGCAGATCAAACTTAGGAGGATTGCGCATATTTGCTATCAGCATCCAGATCTGGCGGAGATTACTACCTTTTTGAGAGGTAAGGGTATGGAAGAGAGGGGTAACATGGTGGGGGCAGGGGGGCGGGGTGCTGAATTAGGTGCAGTGGGATTGTGCTGATTTACGGTAGATTTTGGAATGATGGTTGCGAAGAAAACGGAAACGAAGAGATGGTATAATGGATATGGGATGGACCAGTATGTTTACTATGCGCAGCAGGGTGAGAAAAGGTTTTTGGGTGGGACGTTCGAGGTGGAGAGTTTCGCAGAGCTTGAGAAGTAGGATATCTATGAGTAATGGGTGTAGCTAGTTGTGAGAGAGCTGACGATTTAGCAGAGCAACGCAGCTTCCTGGAGCAACCCAGATTGAGGAGTTGACAGAGGCTCCTGGAGGTGGATATATGGTCACTTTGACGGATCCAGAGGGCTTCCCGGTTAATTTGATGTTTGGACAAAAGCTGGCAGAAGGGGGACCAATGCCTGAGATCCTAACGACAAACTACGAGACGCAGAAACCGCGAGTAGCACGATTCCAACGATTTAAACCTGGGCCAGCGCCAGTACACAAGGCGAGCCGCCCCCTCCTGCCACCCTCTCCAAACCCACAACCGCTGACATCCCACCAGCTTGGTCACTACGGCCTCTGCGTCAAAAACTTCCCCGCGCAACTCAAATGGTACACAACGAACTTCAACCTTGCACCCACTGACTTCCTCTATACTAACCCCGATCCCTCTAACCCGTCCCACCGCCTCGATGTCGCAGTCTTCTGCCACATCGACATCGGCCCTGACTATACCGACCATCACACCTTTTTCATGTCGCAAAACCCAACCTCACACGTACACCACTGTTCTTTCGAAGTCCACGATTTCGACAGCCAGAACTTGGGACATGAGTGGCTTGCCAGGAAAGGGTATAAGAGTGTTTGGGGTGTGGGAAGACACATTCTGGGTAGCCAGATTTTTGATTATTGGTGGGATACGAACGGGAATATGGTAGAGCATTATGCAGATGGGGATTTGGTTAATGAGGATACACCGGTTGGGTGGGGCCCTGCTGGGGATGAGAGTTTGGCGATTTGGGGACCCGAAGTGCCGAAGTGGTTTTTGGATTAGGGGGAGAGGTTGGGGTGGGTGTGGAGTTGCCCAGTAAGATCCAGTACGGGTTTGCTGAAAAATATTACACAAGGAACGCTCGCCGTACGAAGGTTGGTAAAATGAGCACAGTTGAATTCAAATGATAGTTTTGTTTATGGTAAACTTCGGGAACCAAGGCCTAGCTTCCTGCTCTGCTGCCCTTTAAACGTCACCCAACTCCATCACATCTTACACACACCCATTCAGCATCTTCCCCCCCTCTCTAACCCAACATACATCCCATAAATCCAATACCCGGGATCCCTCCATGCGCCCGCCAAAAACACAGGATTAGTCTCCTCCTTCCACCCCACTTTCTCCATCCCTAGTTTCTCAATCACCCTGATACTACCTAGATTATCTTTATCTACACAGGCTTCTACGTAATTCAACACAAATTCATCATTATTCTCTGAGAGCGAGACCCGGTACGCCGTTAGAATAGCGGAAGTGGATTCGGTGGCGTAACCGCGTCCCAAGGAGGATTGAAAGAAGGAGTAGCCTAGGGCGCGGAGGTTTAGCGGTTTGGCGGGACCAGTGGCCCTAGGGTTTAGAGATGGGGGAGATGTTTGATGTGTCCGGGGCCGAAGGAGGAGGCGATGGTGGAGGTAATGTAGGCCCATGCCTTTGCTTTCGAAGACCGATCCAACCTATCAAGTCTCCAGATTCAGGTGAATAACGTGCTGTATCTGTGACTTTTCCTCGCCTCTCTTTTTCATCCACCGCTTCTCTAATATTTGGGCTATCTGCTATTGCTAAAGGTGGGGTTGGAGTTTAAGTAGGCTGAATGTGTACCGCGTACATAATGTGGTCGTATTTAGTTAGATGCTCGACGAACCAGTCTCTGCTTTCGGACAATGTTTTACAGGGGCCGTGGAGACTTGCCTCCAGCCTGTGGTTACTTCATCGGTCCAGAGTTCGTGGAACCATTTCAGATGGGATGAACCTTCTTCTGTGTTGATCATGCGGGTTAGAAGGAGACGGGGGGTGCAGATGGTAGAGTCCACATTGGAAAAATAGTTAGAGAAAGAGATTAATGGGCGTACAGAGGTGGTGATCTCCTTTTACCTTACTCTTGTATTGATTGAGTCACATTTTAGGCGTAAGTTTAGCTATACGGGTGTTGAGCTTGACCTGCCAGATTCAGTTTAGCCACACGTGAAGACCTAAGAGCTGATTATCTCAGCTATTATCTTGCTTGTGCTGTTACATTATATTAAAAAACTTACTTTTACTAGTAATAGCTTTATTAATAATATTATATTAATTATTTATTTAACTACATTTAACTTTAAAAAGTGTTTAATTTAGTTTAAGTTATAGTTTTTACACACTATTACATTAAATTATTTAGTTATTATAGATAAAATCTTAAAAACTTTTTATTAACTAAAGCCTTTAAGTTTAAAACTTTTTATTTTTTATAATTAAAATTACTTTTAAAAAAGGTATAAAAAGTATGCTAAAGTAGAAACCTAAAAACTACTAATAACTTATTAGAATTAGAGATAACTACTAATGCTTAACTTTTAACTACTTTTAGATTTTAGTATAAAATTAGCAACACGCTTTAGCTATAGCTAAAGTAAAATGCTTACTACTAGAGCTAAATAACTACTAACTTTAATAGCTAAACTTTCTTTTATAAAACTTAAAGCTAAAAACTTACTAGATTTAAAGTAAAACTCTAGTAATATAGCCTTTAAAAACTAAGTTACTTAATTAAAGGTATAAATTAAATAGCTAACTAGATTAAAAACTATTAGTTTTAATTAACCTTTACTAACTACTAAATTACTTTTAATAATGCTTTAAATTACTGTTACTATACTAATAGTAAAAGACTTTTTAAGCACTTTTAAGCTTTTTTAAAGCTACTTTACTAAATGCACACTTAAGATTAAGAACTTTATAAATAGTAAAAAACTTATGTTTAAATAATAGTAAGCCTTTATTATAAATAAACTTAATATTAATTTAGATTACTGTAAGGCCGAGATGGTGCTTACGTGCGACAGGTATATATACTATTCTGTACGTAATAATTAATGTTAGTTAATTATTCGCACCTTTTTAGTTATATTAGCGCAGTAGTATAAAGCTTTGTTCTTACATAATAATTAACTAACAACAAGGACAGTCACGTGTTTAACCCACACCTTAGACAGCTTAGCTAGTTTTTAGACTAAAACATAAGGCGGCCTCTTCTAGCGCCACGTTGTAGCTGCTAGGAGGTCTAGTGTATATGGCTTAGCTAGCGTGGCCACTGAGTGTTGCGTTGTGTTTATCCTGCGCCTCTAGGCCGCAGGTGGTCAGCCTCTGGCCGGTAACTGAGTCATGCGCATGGCGCCTCTGAGCTGCGGGTAGGTCATGTGACGCCTGGGACATGCGTCTGCTAAGAAGGGGGATAATGTAAGGCTAGGATAGCGCTTACGTGTAAGGCCGAGATAGTGCTTACGTGCGACGGGTATATATACTATTCTGTACGCAATAATTAACTGTTAGTTGGTTATTCGCACCTTTTTAGTTGTATTAGCGTAGTGGTACAGAGCTCTGTCCTTACAATTACTATTAGAGTAAGTGTACACGTATAGTGTTAGTATAGAGACACACTGCTTGTATTGCAAAGGAATACCTAAAGCTAGGATACCTAGCTAAATTAAATAACTTTTAGTTTAAAAACATAAAAAAAATAATTAAGCTTTTATAAACTTACTTTATTACTAGTAATAAAAAGATAAAGGTATAATAAGCATTTTAAACTTTAAAAATAAGTAAAAGATATATGTTTTTTACTTTTAAAGCTTATTTTATTAGGGCTACTATTAAAAAGTTTATATTAAAGTTAAAATAGTTTTTGTACTTATAAAAAAAGATACTACTTAGCTTAAAAGTACTAAACTTAGGTTTTAAATATACTTAAAAAAAGCTTTTTTAAAATAATAGTAGCCTACTTAATAGCCTATAATATAAAAAGAAGAAACACTTTTACTATTTTAAAGTAAACTATTAACTATACTTAACATTCTAATATTAAACTTATTATAAATTAATTTTAAAAAGTTTTTAAGAATACATCTAAGGCAGTATACTATTTTAGTGCACTCTAACCTGCACCTATGTTAGTACTCTAGTCCACCTCTGCTACCTAGTAACAACCTAGCTAGACACCTGCCTCTAAAAGATAGATAACTTCTAGTAACTGTTATAATTATAGTAAACTAAGATATTTTACTAGTAATTATTTTATCTCTAAAGTATAAAAAATTAAAGTAAAGTAATAAAAATCTAAAAAAGTTTACAGATATAAATAATTATAAGCTAGACTTTTTTTAAATAGAAAATAAAAATGCTTAAAAAACCCTTTTATTTTAAGCTTAAATAAGTATAATTTAGTAAATATTAACTTATTACTCTTATTTAAAAGAAAACACTTTTAAGTTTTTACTATTTTATACTTAAAAAGTATTAAAGTTTAACTAAATTTTTTAGTTAATACTAGTATATATAGTTTTTTATTTATTAACTTAATAACAGCTAAGTTTTTATCTTTGTAACAGTGCTGCTTGTTAAGCTCTGTTGCTAGTTACATGATCTTGCTAAGGGTTAAGCGAGCGCGCTAGCGCCTTAGCGCTGCGCAAGCTTTTCTCTCGCGAAAACTCTTTGCCTTCTTTACGCCCTATCCTAGTTTAGCTAAAATAGAGCTGACCTACTCTACCTTGCTTCCCTAGCTCTATATAGTAGTAGAGACAGTGCTTGTTATTACATTAAACTAGAATTAATCTTATTTTAGCTAGAGGACAGCAGCATAATATCTAGGTTAAACTGCGTAGTTAGCTTTAAGAGCTTAATTTGTTAACTAACTCTTATTAAAGAGATTTGCTAGTATAACTAGGCTAAGCCTTAGTTTATTAACAATAGCCATCTGCCTTTAAAGCCTTAGTTAGGCTAGGCAACTAAAGCAACCTTATTAAGGAGCCCTAAGCTAGGAGCGCTGCTCTAGTTTAAATTGACTGTAGGGGGGGGCCTACACTATTACCGCACAACGCGAAGAGAGCTGTGGGCTCTGTACAATACCACCACCACCCTTAATCCCCTGCTACATGATTAGAAGCGCTAAGGCAGCAGGCACCTTACAGGCCTAGAGACAGCAGGCCTACTAACATCTGCTGCACAGCTAGCAGCACTAATAGTTAAAAGCAATACATACACATCTACACAGCAAAAGTGTAACGATCCTCATGAATCGTTCCATCTCGAGTCGCCCGGAACCTCCGGAAGGCCCTCGTATCGGCCCCGACCTCGACCTGGCCCCGACCCCTGCTGTTACCCCTATTCCCTCATGTATTTAGTCGCACCTCGCCCCTGTAGCTAGCTCGGTAGTTTTCTGATATCCTTTTGTACAAGGCCTATAGGTGTCAATGGCATTCCCAGGTTCAGAGTCCCCACGCACTCCCATATGCCTCTGAGTGGACTCCCACCGCATTCGGACCCATTGTCTTGCCTGCGCCGTTACAAAAAGGGCAGATATAGTGGACTTAGCTAGTAGTTCTCTTAGTTACGTTAACTTAGAAGCTAGGTTGCAGTCTCTAGGTAGCTATAGGCAGACGAGACTGGCCTGGGGGAGAATACCTGTAGGTGGCACAATCTGCATAAGCTCTAGCTAGTATGCTAGGTGTACATTGGCAATGATAATAGGCTGCCCTACCAGCAGCATTGACAATAGCTGCACTGCCTGCAGTAGACAATAGCTGCTCCGCCAGCAGCATTAACAATAGGCTGCCCCGCCAGCAGCATTGACAATGGCTGCACCGCCTGCAGTAGACAACAGCTGCTCCGCTAGTGGCATTAACAATAGGCTGCTCCGCCAGCAGCATCGACCATAGCTGCACCGCCTGCAGTAGACAAAGGCTGCTCTACCAGCAGCATCGACCGCCCCATCTGCTTCACCCTCTCGGGACCTAAAGCAGCATCACCGATCAATCAGCTGCACTGCTAGCGGCATCACCGACCAATCAGCTGCACTGCCAGCAGCATCACCGACCAGCTAGCTGCACTGCCAGCAGCATCAAACGAATACTAGCATGGGGAAACTCTTAAAGCTTGAGATGCGGGTAGACCCCACTAGATACCATTGTACTTTATACCCTGCAACACTAGTTGTCACGACCTTATTATTAGTCGCAAGCTACTAGAGGAAGCAGGCGTATAGATTAACTGCAAGAACTGTGCACTAAGATAGCTAGAGAATAACAGGCTAATTAATTATAAACGCAACATTAACATCCCTATGCGCAGCTTGTCTTTAGAGATAAACCTAAGTTACTAAGAAAACACTAAGAGACGTAATAAACTTATAAGTGTAGCTGCGCTTTAACTAGTAGGTAAATAAAAGGCAACTAAGCATCTTATGTATAAGAAGAACCCTAGAAAGATGTGTAACTAGCTTAGCACTTTAAAGCTAAGCTTATAATCTTATTATAAAAATTACTGTAACTTAACTATATTACATAATACACTTATTAATGCTAGTCTAGACATTAATATAATAAGTCCTACTACCTTTATATTACATGCTTAATAAAAAAAGTTATCATTAGTTATATATATGTGTATAAAGTAAAGAAGCTTATTTAGAACTATTAAGAAGAAATAAACTAGCTTAACCTAGAGAAGAAGCTCTACTAGTTAATTTAACAAAAGCTTCTAGCACTATTATATGTAGGAGCTACACTAGCCTACTTTTTTAAAAAGGACTCTAATAAGCTTTTACTTTACTATAAAAAAGTTAACTATAACATCTAGCTTATAGCAAAGAACACACTATTAAGTAGCTTACTATATAGTATATTGCTAAAGTAACTTAAGCTAGTTAAAACTTACTTTAATAATTACTTATAACATAGTTTTATTATACATAGCAGCGCTAGCTATATATCTCTAGTGCTGTTTACTAAGAAGCTAGAAAAAAAGTAGCAGTTCTATGTTAACGTACTTCACAGGCGAGTTGCTTACACACCTAAGTTACTTACTTTTACTAAGACCCTACTAAACTACTCTTTTTACACTAATAAATTCCCTACAACACTACTTAAATATGCTAAAAGAATGTTAGATACAGCTTACACTTTAAGCTTTTAAATAAAACATAAAACTCTTAAAAAAATGTGCTATAGCTATATATAAGGTCTTATAAAAGATAATAAATAACTATAGCGCTAGATAACTTTTACAAGCTAATTTTACAGCTAAATTATAAAGGCTAGGTAATAAAAAAAAGTAGGTAATTATTAAAACTATACTTAAGCTATATGCGTAAGGAATTTCTTCTTAGATAGTATTTATAGCTAATATAGCTAATTTTTTACACGCTAAGCATAATCTAGGCTATGTTTATATAAACTAGCCTAGTACATTTATAAAGTGTTATTTAAAGCTTAAAGTAAAGTTTTAAGCATAAGTATAGTTAAAAGATATTTAGCTAATTATAAACTCTATCTTGCTAAAGTTATACATGTTATTATTCTAAATACTATACTAAGCTTTAATATTTTCTATAAAGCTAAACCTGCCTTAAATTACTTTAGAACTCTTATAAAAAGCTTTTTTATAGTTATACTTACACTTAAATGTTACTTTAAGCTCTAAATAACGCTTTATACACATACTAGGCTAGTTTATGTAAACATAGCTAAGATTATGCTTAGCGCGCAAAGAATTAGCTATATTAGCTATAAATGCTATTTAAAAGAAAATTTCTTACATATATAGCTTAAGTATAGTCTTAATAATTACCTACTTTTTTTATTACTTAGCCTTTATAATTTAGCTGTAGAATTAGCTTGTAAAAGTTATCTAGTGCTATAGTTATTTATTATTTTTTATAAAACTTTACACATAGCTATAGCACATTTTTTTAAGAGTTTTATGTTTTGTTTAAAAGCTTAAAGTGTAAGCTATATCTAACATTCTTTTAGCACGTCTAAGTAGTGTTGTAGGGAATGCATTAGTGTAGAAAGGGTAGTTTAGTAGGGTCTTAGTAAAAGTAAGCAACTTAGGTGTGTAAGCAACTTGCCTGTGAAGTACGTTAACTACTAAAAGCTTAATATAATTGTAAAAAAAACATATACTTAATTTCTTTAATCTAGAAGACTTTTACTTACCTAGTGTATACTAGGGTGTTTACTAAGCTAGATATATAACAAGCCCTTTACTGCATCTGTTTAAATAAAAAGGTAGAGAACTTTACTACCTTTTAAACATAATATAGCAACTACAAATACTATGTACTAATACTTAGCTTATGTAACAGACTAGCTATGTTCTAACACTATATTAATAAAGTGCTTTATAGCCTACTAGATAACACTTATATAGTATACCTTAATAATATTTTTATTTACTTAAAAGACTTATTCTAACATAAGAAATATGTTACATAGGTGCTTTATTAACTACTAGACGCTAGCGTTTAAGTAAACATTAAAAAAAACAAGTTTACTATTATAAAGACAAAGTTCTTAGGTCTAGTTATTAGCACTAACAGCATGCGCAAGGACCTAGGAAAGGTAGTAGCTATACGTAAATAGCCTATACTAACATTAATTAAGAGCTTATAATCTTTTCTAAGGTTCTATAACTTTTACTAAGCATTTTTAAAAAACTATAGACACATTATATAACTGCTTATAAAGCTGCTTAAGTGTAGTGCTTAGCACTACTTTAAAGAATGTAAGCTAGCAGCTTTTAATTAAGCTAAGGACCTAATGCTATTAGACGCTGTCCTTACGCACTACTTGTCCCACCGCTAGACACGCATGGAGACAGACGCTAGCAACAGAGTTGTAGCAGGTGTGCTTTCCTAGCTACAGGATAACAGACTCTAGCGACTAGTAGCCTTTTATTTAAAGACTATAAGCGCGCTCTAAATAAACTATAACATCTATAATAAAGAGATGCTTACTATAATATAAGGCTTATATAAGTAGTAAGCTTAGCTTATAAGCTTATAAATAACTAAGCTATTTAGCCCTTATAGACTATTAAGTGTTAGAGTACTTCTTAATTAAGCGTAAGCTTACTCTATAGTAAATGCACTAGGCTATAACAGTAGCTAATTATAACCTAAAGCTTACCTACTAGCTAGGGACTATGAATGTAGTAGCAGATGTGTTGTTAAGAAAGTAGGAAAAGATAAAAACTTAAAAGGATAAGAATAAGGCAGCTTGTACACGCGCCTTTCTTATAGCACACTAGATTAACCTAAGAACTGTTAAGGCTATAGTAGACAACCTAGCTTAGCAATCTGCAGAAGGACTACTAGCTATAAATGCTATAGAAGTGGCTACTAGTGACACCTTTATAGCTTTTTCATCTCTAGATAAGCCTTATGCGCTAATTAACTGCGTGTAAAGATAGGATGGTAAGTAGCACAGATAGCACTAAGAGCACGTTTTTAGAGAAAGATAGGAGTGTATTATAAGAGAGACAAATCGCTGCTAAGCCTTACTTGTTAGGATTTATGCTTATATACAAATCACAGGTTATATAACCTCTAAACAGGTTAGGTGAGGCCATACTAGCCTGTTCTAGGACATCTAGCCTTACATTATCCCCTCTTATAGTAGTCCTACAACTTAGAGGATAGAACAGATAATAATAGGCCTAAGTAGCATAATATAGTGTTATATAATGCTTTAAAGGCTTACTTTTACTTATTTTAGTTAATTTTATGTAAGTTTATTTAAAAACAACCTAAAGTTTTTAAGTAAAGGTAAAGTAAAAGTATAAAGTAGAAGTAAAGGTAAAATAGCAGTATATCTTACGCTAGTAGAGTAGCAGTTATAATAGTATATATAGGGTCTAACTGTCTTAGAAGTCTATTTTCTCTACACTTCTGCTCTTTTAACAGGTTAAAATTTAAAACTTTTTAAACTTTTTAAGGTAAGTATATTTTAAGCTACTCTAGTGTAATCTAGTGTAAAGAGGTGCTAACAAGCTTTAATAGTCCTATTTTACTTTACTTGCACTTACTTATACTTAATCTACTTTTAGCTTTTTTTTTATACTTAACTTTACTTAATAACTTTAAAATAAACTTTTATAGCCTACTTTATTATAATCTAGCTATAGTTTTTTTTAAAAAAAATTAATTAGCTTTTACTAATATAAACTTACACTTTAATAACTTTTATGTTTAATGTATTAATAAAATGTCTTATAAGGGCATTATAAATAAAAGTAGTAGCTGTTATATGCTTATAAATAATAAGTTATATTATAGTATTAAAAAAAAGAAAATTAAGTACACTAAGTGTGCTTATTACTTTAAATCTAGTAAAAAGTGCTTTAAAGTGCATATTTTAGCTTCTTTTAGTGTATTTACACGCAGTCTGTCTAGGCTAGGTATATAGCTTTAAAAGTAAGACACAGAATACTAGATAAACTTCTTCTAAATTAGGTAAGTTTACTTTATACACCTCTACACTAATTTAGCTTATAACTTTTCTTAGTTCTAAAAACTTCTAGTCTAGCCTTTTCTTTAGCCTTATTAATTTTATGTGTTTATTAGAGACTAATAACGTACTTCACGGGCGAGTTGCTTACACATCTAAGTCGCTTACTTTTGCTAAGACCCCACCCTAACAAACTCTATTATAGCCTATAACAACCCGCTCTAGCACTATATAGTACAGTACAGCCTAGAATATTATTTAAATACTACTTCTACTTCTTACTTACATGTTTACGTGTTATGCCTAGTCTAATTGCACTATTTATAGTGCCTTTAAAATAGCTTACTTACTTTAGCTTACACCTGCTTTTTTACCTTCTTTTTATTACTGTGCACTCTAAACCTTTTTAAAGCTATTAAGTGTAAGCTTTTTTAAATTATTAAGGTCTTTTTTACTTTAATTTACTTTCTTTTATATAATTTATATTATGTAGTAGCTTTATTAGCTACTTAAAGCTTAGTAATTTTTTATTACACTAATACTAGCTTATATATAATTATTACTACTCTTTTTAAAACTTTTTTAAACACTTTAATTATAAAAGTTAGTAAACTATTTATATGCGTTTAAATTTTTATTTTTATAAGTATTAATTATAACTTAAGTTTTAAAGTATTACT